ATTGGCTATATACATATTCTTTTGTTTTACAAATTCCAGAAAAAAGAAATAATGAGTGAGACTGCTAGTCAGAAATGAAATGTCTATAAACAATTGCCCCTTATCTTAGAAATTTGGGAGGTCAAAGTGGGCAGATCCCCTGAGGTCAGCAGTTTGAGTCCAGCCTGGCCAACATGGTGAAACCCCATCTGTACTATAAATACAAAAATTATCTGGGTGTGATGGCAAGTGCCTGTAATCCCAGCTACTCGGGAGCCTGATGCAGGAGAATCACTTGAACTCAGGAGGCAGAAGTTGCAATGAGCCAAGATCATCCCACTGCACTACAGCCTGGATGACAGAATGAGACTTCATCACAAACAAACAAAAAACAATTGTCCCTGGATAAAGTTCCACACCCTCATCTCTCTGAGCCTGATAAATTGTGCAGACCTCACAGAGCTGAGACTACTTTGAGCTATTTTTTTTTTTCCTCCTCCTCCTTGCTCAGGACACATGAACTATTAACAAGAAAAAATTCAAATATGAAACTTGGCAAGCCACAAGAATAATGCCAGGAGGTGTCCTTTAGGAACCTGGCTGTCACCTCCTTTCCCCATCCTGCCCTCCGCTCCCCTTACACACACACACCTTGGATCACAAGACCAACAAAACAACTACATCAGCCACTGAGAGAGAAGCCACAGAAGAACCCAGAGCCACTGCAGGGCCCCCTTGAACCACCCTGGAATGAACAGCCATTATGAACATTCAGGAGCTGTATATTCCCACCTTCACACTACACTAACTTTCAATGGTCACAAGATAGACTGGCTGAAAGTTGGTGCTTGGAACATTCCGCATCCCTCAGGAGCTCAGTGCTACAGTCTCAGGTACACACCTGCCCATTGGCCATTCAAATGAAACAATTGTTATCAAGAAACCAGAGTCCATGCAGTGGTAGTGGATCAGTCTGGGGTGCATTAGTGACCAGTTAGCAGGGCCTTGGCTGTGTAAACCAAAAGGTGTCTGAGACAAATGTCAATCAATTTGGAAAGTTTATTTTGCCAAGGTTAAGTAGGAGCCTGTGACACAGCCTCAGGGGGTCCTAATGACACGTGCCCAAGGTGGTTGGGGTATAGTTTTCTTTTATACATTTTCAGAAAGTCATGAGACATCAGTAAATATGTTTAAGGTGCACATTGGTTTGGTCAGGTAAGGTGGGGAAACTTGAGGTTGGGGCTTCTACGTCATAAGTAGGTAAGAGAAGAAAGAAAAATATTATTTGAGCCCTTGATAAGTCTTCCACTGAATACATGATTCAGCCTGGCTCAGTAAATTTGCTTTTTTTTTTTTTTTTTTTTTTTTTTTTTTGAGATGGAGTCTTGCCCTGTCACCCAGGCTGGAGTGCAATGGTGCGATCTCAGTTCACTGCAACCTCCATCACCTGGGTTCAAATGATTCTCCTGCCTCAGCCTCTGAATAGCTGGGAGTACAGGTGCCTGCCACCATGCCCTGCTAATTTTTGTATTTTTAGTAGAGACAGGGTTTCACCATGTTGGCCAGGCTGGTCTCAAACCCCTAATCTTGTGATCCACCTGCCTCAGCTTCCCAAAGTGCTGGGATTACAGATATGAGCCACCAAGCCCAGCATGAATTTGCACTCTTAAGTTAACAATAGGCCAGAGGAAGTAAGCAGATATGCATTTGTCTCAGGTGAGCTTCAGAGGGATGACTTTGAGTTCTCTCTGTCATCTATTCCATAGGAATTTTCTTGTGGGCAAATTGTGAAGTAGGTATGTAGCTTTTTAATGTTTGTAGCTATCTTATTTAAGAATAAAATAGGAGACAGGTTTGCCTGACATAGTTCAGCTTGACTTTTCTATTATATTAGTAATTTTGACATCATGAGATTTATTTTTCTTTCACAGTGGGGACCCCATTATTATCAAGTGTATCTGTTTAAACTTGACAGAATAAAACAAAGTATATATTCAGAAGTAACAAATAGAGGTTAACAGAAAACTTATAAAGACAAATATAACCATTGCTAAATTTTTCAGAATAGCCCATCTTGGTTTTCCGTTTCTTATCCACTATAATTCAAATAAAAATTTTTCATAATGTTATACTGGATCTCTATGCCAGAGGCATTCAAACCAGAGTGATTGCATCTTGAAAAGTGTGGGGGTGAAATGAGGCTGAGACCTACTGGGCTGCATCCCCAGGTTAGGCATTCACAGTCACAGAATAAGATAGGAAGTCAGCACAAGACACATTGTGCTTAGCAATATGTCACAATCTTCCCTCTAAGCAGGGTGCAGGCAGAATAGAGGAGTCACCTGTTTATGTAATGGATGCAGACATATGTCACAAAGCCCCCATGGGCAGGGTCAAGAAAGGAGCTTTCTATCCCCTAGGTGTTGGCCCCACCAATATATCACAATACCCCAAATTTGTGAGACTCCCCCCAAAAAAAGAGAATCACATCACCTAGGCGCTGGGTCAGGTGATATGTCACAATTACCATTTGTGGCAGGTTCCATTCATAAGAAGAGAGTCACAACACTTAAGTGATAAACAAAATGATATTTCATAATACCCTTCTGAAAACAGTCCACGAAGAAGATTCATATTATGTTGGTGCTGGTTCCAGCCATACATCACAATACACAATGTGTGCAGAGACCAGGCAAAAAAAAAAAAATGAGTCACATCTTGGGCAGAGCCAAGGCAGTAAATGAGAGTCACATTACCTCGGTTCTGGGTCCAGAAATGCCACAATAGCCTCTGAGAAAAGAGCCCTGGCAAAAAAAAAAAAAAAAAAAAAAAAAAAAAGTCACAACATCTCGTTGAGAAGCCCAGGGATATGTCACAATGCCCACTGGGAGTAGGTCTCAGAAAGAAAAGATAGATTACATAACCTAAAAGCTGGACCCAGCTACATATCACAATCACCCCAGTGGACAGGGCCATAGCATGAGAAGAGTCACATTATGTAAGTGCTGGACCAGGTGATACATCACAATTCCCACTGTGGACAGACCCCAGGAAAAAGGGTAGAATCATATCATCTAGGTGGTGGTCCCAGAGTCATGTCACAATAACCCCTGTGGACAGGGACTAGTCAGAAGATTGCCATAGCCTGTGTGCTGATCCAAGGGATAAGTCACTCTCTTTTATGGGAGCATGGTCATGGGAGGGAAGCAGAGTCACATCATCTACGTGCTGGCCCCAGAGATATGTCACGATCTCTCCTATAGAAGAAACACAAGTAAGAGAGTCACAGCACAAAGATGATGGGTTCACAGATATGTCACTATGCCTGCTGTGAGCAGGGTTTGGACAGAAGGCTCACATCATCTTGTTCAGCCCAGCAGTATGTCACAATCTACATTGTGAGCAGAACCTGTTTAGAAGATAAGAGTCACTTCAGCTAGATGCTGGGCCCAGTAATAGGAAAAAATCATTTATGTGTGCAGGGACCTGGTAGAAAAATAGAGTCACATTACCTCATCAATTGGTACAGAGGCAGATCATAATGCTTCCTGTAGGCAGGTTTCATCAAAGACAGTTACATCACCTGGATGTTGGACATAGTAATATTTCACAGTGGCCCATAATGGCAGGGCACAGGTGGGAGAGACACATAACCAGGGAGTGGGGGCCAGCCATATGACACAATGTCTCCCTGTGGACAGTGCCAAGGCAAAAAAATGTACAATCATAACACCTAGGTGTTGTGTTCAGCGGTGTGTCATGATTCAACCTGTGACTGGGCACCAGGCAGGAGAATCAAATTACTCAGGTGCTGGGTGGAGGTGTATGTCACAATCACAGTTGCAGGAAAATGTAGGAATAAAATTAACAATCTTGCACATGACCCACTTCTAGGTATTCGGGTCAACACCTTTTGTATGTTGAGTCTATCAGTCACAATCTCAATGGTGGACTGAATATATGCATAAGAGCCTCAATCTTTGCTGTAGACTGTGTCCTCTTAGTGGAGTCACAGCCTCACCAGTATGTTGAATCTTGATGTCAGAGTCATTAACCCACATATAGACCAAATCCATGTATAAGAGTCAATTTTCCATCTTTTGGCTACCTCCAGGTGTGAGAAACAGAACTTCAACAGTGAGCTGTATTCATGTGGAAAGATGATAGTCTTTACTGTTAGCTGGACGTGCATATAAGTGTCACAATGTCAGCTGTGTGCTGAGCTTCGTTATAAAACACTCTGTACCACCTGAGGTCTTTATACAATATTCACGATAGTCACAATTTGCTCCGAGACTTTCTTCCTAGTATGGACTCATAATCATACCTGTGTACCTGAGCCCATGTATTACAGTCAACATCTCTCCAACTGGCTAAGTCCAGAGACGAGAGTCTTCACCTGCCTATGAGCTGGATTTAGAAATGAGTCACCGTGTTAACTGTGGCCATATGATTACATATGACAGTCACAATTTTGACTGTAGACTGCATTCACCTGCAAAATTCAGGATCTCTAGAGTGGACTCTGTCCATGTGTGACGGTGACAATGCTAACATTTGGTAGGTTGTGCATATGAAAATCACAGTCTCACCTGTGTGCTTGGTCCTGTAATGACACTCTCTGTACCATCCAAAAACTTTGTACAAAGTGTGAAAGAACGGTAATCCTTTATAATGTTTATTATCTAGAGAAGACTCAGGAATCTACCCACTTCTCTACGCTTAGTTGCAAGTGCCATTCTCTCTTCTTTTGGCTGGTTCATGTTATTAGTGTCATCTTCACAGCTGTGAGCATGGCTAAGGTATATGTCACAACCAAACTGAGTAGAAAGAGTAACATAGTAACATCACCTGGTGCTGGATCAGAACTATGTCACTATTTTTCCAGGGCAAGGACCAGACAGACACTTGGTTGCCTGGTCAGGGTTATGTTACAATTTTCTCCTGAATGTAAGGCACAGAAAGCAAAGTCACATTGCTTGAGTAATGGGCTCAGCTATATGTCACAATTTTCTCTGCAGGGAAGACCCTGTGTACAAGAAAAACACCACCTGGTTGCTGAACTCAGAGGTATGTCACAATCTTCTATGTGGGCATAATGCAGATAGAAGAGAGTCACACCTCAAAGTAATAGATGCAGAGATATGTCACAAGGCCTCTTGTGGGCAGGGACCAGGCAAGAGCCTTTCACCCATTTGATTTGACCCAGGAATACGTCTTAATACCCAAAATACAGGGGGCTGATTTGAAAGAGGAGAGTGATAAGGCCTGGCGCAGTGGCTCACACCTGTAATCCCAGCACTTTGGGAGGTTGAGGAGGGCAGATCACTTGAGGTCAGGAGTTTGAGACCAGCCTGACCAACATGTCAAAACCCCATCTCTACTAAAAATACAAAAATTCGCCAGGTATTTTGACACACACCTGAAATCTCAGCTACTCGGGAGGCTGAGGCAGGAGAATCTCTTGAACCCAAAAGGCAGAGGTTGCAGTAAGCCTAGATCATGCCACTGCACTCCAGCCTGGGTGACACAACGAGAGTCTATCTTATATTTTAAAAAAAAAAGGTGGGAAGGGAAGGGAAGGGGAGGGAAGGGGAGGGAAGGGGAGGGAAAGGGAGGGAAGGGGAGGGAAAGGGAGGGAAAGGAAGGGAAAGGAAGGGAAAGGAAGGGAAAGAAAAGAGATGAAAAGAAAAGAGAAAAGTGATATCACTAAATGCTGGGTCCAGTGATATGTCACAATCCCCACTTTAAACAGGGTTCAAGTGGAAAAAGAGAGCCACATCACCTCAGTGATAAACAAAATGAAGTGTCATAATTACCCTATTAGCTGGGCTCATGTGGGTTTACGACCCGAACCCTGTAGAAGGAGAGGAGAGTCACATCACCAAGGCGCGCAATCTCTCCTTGGGCAGAACCCAAGCACTAGAAGAGAGTAACATCACCTTATTGCTAGGTCAAAAAAATATGGCCCAGTACTTCCTTAAAAACAAAGAGCCCATGAGCAGTCTTCCTAAATTAGAGCTTCAGAGATATGTCAAAATGCCCTATGTGGGTGAGGCTCATATAGAAGAGAAAAGTCATATAACCTAGGCCCTTCACCTAGTTATATGTCACAATCACCCCAGTGGGCAATGCCCAGGCATGGGGAAAAAGTTATGTAGGTGCTGCAACAAGTGATCTGTCACAATCCCCATTGTTGACAGATCTCAGAAACCAAAAAAAAAAAAAAAAAAAAAAGTCATATCATCCTGTTTAGTGGGCCAAGGGCATTCACCATGTCCCCTGTGGACAGGGACAAGGCAGAAAAATTACATTACCTTTGTACTGTGCCTAGGGATTAGTCACTCTCCCTTCTGTGGTCAGGGCCCACGCAGGAGTGAAGAGTAACATCATGTAGGTGCATGGCCCAGATATGTTACAATGTCTCCTAGCAAAAAGGCCTTGTAAAAGTGGAGAGTAACGTCAAATAGATCATGAGCCCCAAAATATGGCAAAATGTTCCCTGTACTCAGGGTCTAGGTAGATTTACATCACCTGGGTGTTAGACCCAGCAATATGTTACAATAGCCCATGTGGACAGGACACAGAAAGGACAAACACATTATCTGGGTGCAGGGACCAGTGAAATTTATATTTTGTATTTTTTGTGTTTTTGTATTTTGTATTTTTAGTAGAGGCCGAGTTTCACCATGTTGGCCAGGCTGGTTTTGAACCCCTGACCTCAGGTGATACACTTGCCTTAGCCTCCCAAAGTGCTGGGATTATTGGCATAAGCCACTTCACCCAGTCTGCCTGTGGCCATCTTATAGGAGTACATTTTAATGCATCCCTGGCCAACTACCTAGGTGATGTGGTATGACTCAAAAAAAAAGAAAAAAAATAAGAAAGATGGGCACAGGCCACAAGTTCAAGTGACATAACCCGGATGCTGGGCCTAGAGATATGTTACAACATTCTCTGGGAGCAACAACCTGAGAGGTGAGACACACACTTGGTGGCCGATCCCAGTGATATGTTACAATCTTTGCTTTGTGCATAATGCATGTAAGTAAAGACAGTCACGTTTCATAGGTGATGGATGCCAAAATATGTCACAAGGCCACCTATGGGCAGGGCCCAGGAAGGAGCTTCTCATCCCCTAATGTTAGACACAGTGATATGTAACAATATGCAAAATATGCAAGGTCCAGTCAAGAGATGAGTTACATCATCTAGGTGCTGAGTCCACTGATACATCCCAATTCCGTTATGGCAGGGTACAGACTGAAGAATAGTTACATCACTACCTAAGTGATGAATGAAAAAATATTTCATGGTTAGGTGCAGTGGTTCAGTCCTGTAATCCCAGCAGTTTGGGAGGCTAAGGTGAGCAGATCACCAGAGGTCGAGAGTTCAAGACCAGCCTGACCAACATGGAGAAACCCCATCTCTACTGAAAATACAAAATTAGCCTCGTGTGGTGGCACATGCCTGTAATCCCAGCTACTTGGGAGGCTGAGACAGGAGAATCACTTGAACTCGGGAGGTGGAGGTTGTGATGAGCTGAGATTGCACCATTGCACTCTAGCCTGGTCACAAGAGGGAAACTCCATCTCAAAGAAAAGACAGAAAAGAAAAGAAAAGGAAAGAAAGAAAGAAAGAAAGAGAGAGAAAGAAAGAAAGAGAGAGAGAGAGAGGGGGAGGGAGGGAGGGAGGGAGGAAGAAAGAAAGAAAAGAGAAAGAAAGAAAGAAAGAAAGAAAGAAAGAAAGAAAGAAAAGAAAGAAAGAAAAAGAAAGAAAGAAAGAAAGAAAGAAAGAAAGAAAGAAAGAAAGAAAGAAAGAAAGAAAGAAAGAAAGAAAGAAAGAGAAAAGAAATTTCATAATACTCTTGTGGCCAGGTCTTATGTAGAAGACGCTCATCACCTGGGTGGCAGCCCCAGCTATATGTCACAAAGCAAAATGTTTGTAGGGCCCAGGCCAGAGAAAAAGAGTCCCATCACATAGGTGCTGGACCCACTGATACATTACAATTCCTATTTAATCAGAGTCTAAGCAGTAGAGGAAGTCACATCACCTACATGCTACATCCAGCAACATGTCACAATATCCCCTGAGAGGACAACCAAGGAAGAAAAGTCACATCACCTAGGTAAAAGGCCTGGAAATATTTTATAATGTGATCTTTTTGTAAGGCTCAGGCAGAAAATGGGAGTCAGATAACGTAGGAGCTGGGCCCAGCTATATGGCACAATCACTACAGTAGTTAAGGCCTTGGCATGAGAGGAGAGTCGCATCAGATAGGTGCTGGGTCCAGAGATACGTCACATTTCCTACTGTGGACAGGTCCAGAAAGATAAGGAGAGACCTATCATTTAGGCGATTGGCCCAGAGATATGTCACAATGACCATTTGGGCAAGAACCAAGCAGAAGAGTCACATCTCCTGTGTGCTGGGCCCAGCAATAAGTGCTCTTGCTTCTATTAGCATGATCCAGGCCCAAAGATACATTACAATCTAACCTATGGACAAAGTGAAGTTAAGAGAGGAGAGTCACATAAAATAGTTGATTGGCAGAGAACTCACATCATCTAGGTTTACGGCCCAGCAATATGTCACAATGTCATATGTGGGCAAGTCCAAGAAAAAAAAAAAAACAGTAATATCCTATTGTTACTTAGTTCAGTAATATTTCAAAATATTTCCTGTTCCTCCTCCTTCTCCTCTCTTCTTCCTCCTCCTCTCCTCCTCCTCCGCCTTCTCTCCTCTTCCTCCTTTTCCTTTTCCTTCTTTCTCCTCCATCCTCTTCTTCACCTTGCATTTCTTCTCCTCCTCTTCGTCTTTTCTCCTCTGCTACTGCTCCTCCTTCTTCTCCCATTTTCCTCTTCCTCCTCTCCTCCTACTCCTTCTCCTCCTCTCCTCTTCCTACTTCTCCTCTCCTCTTCCACCTCTTTCTCCTCTTTCTTTTCTCCTCATCCTCCTTTCCTCCTCCTTCTATCCTCCTCTCCTTTTTCTCCTCCTCTCTTCCTCTCCTTTTTCTCCTCCTCTCTTCCTCCTTCTCTCCTCCTCTCCTTTTTCTCCTCCTCTCTTCCTCTCCTTTTTCTCCTCCTCTCTTCCTCCTTCTCTCCTCCTCTCCTTTTTCTCCTCCTCTCTTCCTCCTTCTCTCCTTTTCTCCTCCTTATATCCTTATCTCCTTCTCTCCTCCTCTTCCTCCTCCTCCTTTTTCCACCTCCTCTTCTCCTCCCTCTCCTCCTTTTCTCCTCCTCCTTCTACTCTCTTCTTCCTCCTTTTCTTTCTTCTTTCCTCCTCGTCCTTCTGTGCTCCTCCTCTTTCTCTCCTCCTCCCCCTCATCACCTCCTTTTCCTTTTACTCCTCTCTTCCACCTCCTTCTTTCCCTCTCCTCCTCTTTTCTGCTCTAGTCCTTTTTCCTCCCCTCCTCTTCCTCCTCCTTTTCTTTTACTCCTTCTTCTCTCCTCTCTTTCTACTCCTCTCCTCTTTCCTCTCTCATCCTCCTTTCCTCTTCTCCTTTTTCTCCTCCTCTCCTTCTCCTTCTCTCCTCCTTTTTCTGTTGTCCTTTTCTTTCTCCTCTCCTCTTTCTCTTTTTCTCCTCCTCTTTCTCCTCCTTCTCTCTTCCTTCTCATCTCCTCCTCCTCCCTTCCTCCTTTTCTTCTTTTTTCTCTCATCCTCCTACTCCTTCTACTCTACTCTTCTTCCTTTTTACTTTTTCTCCTCCTCCTTCTCCTCTCCACCTCCTTTTATTTCTGCTCTCTTCCACCTTCTTCCCCTCCTCTCCTCCTTCCCCTCCTCCTCCTCCTTCTCCTTCCCTCTTCTTTCTCCTTCTCTTATTCTGTTCCCCCGTTTCTTCTATTTTTCACCTCCTCCTCCCCTCTGCCTCATCTTCTCCTCTTCTTTTTTCTCCTCCTCTCCTCCGACTTCTCTTCTCCTTCTCCTCCTCTCCTCCTCTTCCTGTCTCCTCCTCTTCCTCATCCTTATCATCTCTTTCTCCTCCACCCCTTCTACCCTCCTCCTTCTATTCTTCTACTACTCCTTCTCCTCCTCTTATCCTTCTCTCCTTTTCCTCTTCTCTCTTTCCTTTTTCTCTTCTTCCCCTTTTCTCCACCTCCTACTCCACCTCCTTCTCCTCCCTTCTTCCTCCTCCTCTCCTCCTCCTACTCCTTTCCTCATCTCCTTCTTTTATTCCTACTCCTTCTCCTCTCCTTCTTCTCCTCTTCTTCTCTTCCTTTTCCTCCTCCTCTTTTACTCTTTCTCCTTCTCCTCCTGCAACTTCTCCTCCTCCTCTACTCCTCTTCCTTTTTCTCCTCAATCTTCTCCCCCACTTTTTTCTTCCTCTTCTCCTGCTTTTCCTCCTCTTTCTCCTCTCCTCCTCCTCCTCTCCTCCTTCTCCTCTCCTTCTCCTTTTCTCCTTCTCCTCCATTCCTCCTCTTTTCCTCCTCGTTCTCATCTTTCTTCCTTTCTCCTTCTCATCCTCTGTCTTCTCCATCTCCTCTTCTCCTTTTCTCCTCCTTGTTCTCCTCCTCTTCCTTTTTCTCTTCTACTTCTCTTTATCCTTCTTCTCTTTTCCTTCTCTTCCTCATCTTATTTTTCTCTTCTCCTCTGGTCCTCCTCCTTTTTCTCCTCTCCATATCCTTTTCCTGTCCTCTTGGTCCTTCTCTCCTCTTCCTCTCCTTTTTCTTCTCTCCACCTCTTCTTCTGCTGCTCTCCCCCTCCTCCTCTCCTTCTCTATTTTTCTCCTCCTTCTTCTCTTTCGCTTCTTCTCTCATTCGTTCCCTCCTTTTTCTCCTGTCCTCCTCCTTCTCTCCCCCTCCTCTTTTCCTTTTCTTCTTTTGCTTCTCCTCCTCCTTCTCCTCTCCTCCCCTCCTCTTTCTCCTCTGCTTCTCCTTTTTCTCCTCCTTCTTCTCTCCTTCTCTTCCTTTTTCTCTCTTTTTCCTCTGCCTCCTCCTCTCCTCCTCTTTTTTCTCTCTTCTTTCTTCTCTCCTCCAACCCTCCTCCTCCTACCTCTCCTCTCCAACTTCTCTTCCTCCTCCTCCTCTTTTCTCTTACTCCTTCTCCTTCCTCTTAAACTCCTTTTTCTTTTCTTTCAGTCTTCATCTTCCTCCTTTTCTCCTCTTTATCTTCCTTCTCTCCTCCTCCTCTTCTCTTCCTCCTCTTCTTACTCTCTTTTCCTCTTTTTTCTACTCTTCTTCTCCTGTTTTTTCTCCTCTCTTTGTCTTCTTCCTCCTTCTCTTCTTCTCCTCCTTTTCTTTCTACTCTCCTCCTCCTTTTTATTCTTTTTCTCCTGTTTTTCTTTTTCTTCTATCCTTCTTTGCCTACTCCTTCTTTCCTCTTCTGTCGTTTTCTTCTTTTTTCCTCCTCTTCTCCTTCTCCTCTTCTCCTTTTTCTCTCCTCCTCCTTTCCTCCTCCTCCCCATCCTCTTCCTTTCCTTTTCCTCCTCTTGCTGCTCTCCTCCTTTTTCTTTTCTTTTTCTCCTCTTCTTCTCCTCTTCCTCCTTCTCCACTTCTCCTAGTCCTTCTCTCCTTCTCATTTTTCTCCTCCTCTCCTCTTCCTTTTTTGTCCTCCTCTTTTCCTCGCCCCCTTCTTTTCCTCCTCCTCCTCTTCTTCTTCTCTCCTCTTCCATTTCTCTTATTCTCCTATTTCTCCTCTCCTCCTTCTTCTCTCCTTCTCCTCTTCTCCTTCTCTGAGTTATTCTCTCCTTCTTCTTTTTCTCTTTTTTTCATTTTTTGTCTTCTACTCCTTTTTCTCCTGTCCTTCTTTTTTCCTCTCCCCTCCTTTTTCTCCTCTCCTCCCTCTAAACTCCTTTTTTCTCTTTCTTCTCCTCTCCTTCTCTCCTCTTTCTTTTCTTTTTTCTCCTCTTCTTCCTTCATTTCTCCTCCTCCTCCTTCTCCTCCTTTCTTTTCTCCTCCCAATCTTCTCTCTTCCTCTCCTTCTCCTTTTCTCCTTCTCTTTCTTCTTTTTCTTCTCCTCTTTTTCTCCCTTTTCTCCTTTTCTCCTTCTTCTCCCCTTTTTGTCCTCCTTCTTTTCTCCTCCTCCACCCCTCTACTTCATTTCTTTCTCTCCTCGTCCTCCTGTTCTTTCTTCTTTTTTTCTCTCTTCCTCCTTTTTGTCTCCTCCTCCTTTTCCTTCTTTTTTCTTCCTCCTTCATCTCCTTTCCTTCTCCTCTCCTCCTTTTTTCACCTTTTTATCTGCTCCTACTTTCTCCTTTTTTCTCCTCCTCTCTTTTTTCTCCTCTCCTTCTCCTCCTACTGTCCTTTTTCTCCACCAGTTCTTTTCTCCTTTTTTCCTCCTCTTTTTCTTCTTCTCCCCTTCTGCTTTTTCTCCCCTCCTCCTTTCCTCTTCCTCCTTCATTCCTCCTCTTTTCTTCCTTTCCTCATTTCTCTCCTCACCTCTTCCTTCTCCTTCTCCTCCATCTCCTCTTCTCCTCCTTCTCTCCTCCTCCTTCTTTTTCTTCTTTACTGTTCATCCTTTTTTCTTTCCTCCTCCTCTCCTCCTCTTCCTACTCTACTTCTCCTCCTCTTTGTTTTCTTTTTTGCTTCTCCTCTTTTTCTCTTTTTGTCCTTTCCTTTTTCTTCTTCTCCTTGCATCCTCTAACTTTTCTTCCTCTTCTCCACTTCCTCCTTTTCCTCTCCTCCTTCTCATTCTTTTCCTTCTCCTCTTCTTCTGTTTTTTCTTTTTTTCTTCTCTTATTCTTCTCCTCCTTCTCTTCCTGTCCTCCTTCTTTTCTCCTTTACTTTCTTTCCTCCTTCTCTCCTCCTCTACTTTTCCTTCTCCTCTTCTCTTCCTCCTTCTACTCCTTCTGCTTTTTCTCCTCCTTCTTCTCCCCCTTTTTTGTAATGCACTCCTTTTTCTTCTCCTCCTTCTCCTCTCCTCCACCTCTTTCTTTTATTTGTTTCCTCTCCTTTCATCCTCCTCCTCTGCTGCCGCCTCCTCCTCCTCCCCCTCCTCCCCCTCCTCCTCCTCCTTCTTCTTCTCCTTCTTCTTCTTCTTCTTCTTCTTCTTCTTCTTCTTCTTCTTCTTCTTCTTCTTCTTCTTCTTCTTCTTCTTCTTCTTCTTCTTTTTCTTCTTCTTCTTCTCCTCCTCCTCCTTCTTCTCCTCCTCCTTCTTCTCCTCCTCCTCCCTCTTTTCCTTCTCTTCTTCTCCTCATCTCCTCCTCCTTTTCTTATTTCTCCTTTTACTCTTCTTTTCTTTTTATCTTCCTCTCTTTCTCCTTGTCAGTCTCCTCTTCACCTCCTCGTCCTGCTTTTTCTTTTCCTGCTGCTCCTTCTCTTCTTTTTCTTTTTTCCCCCTTCTCCTCTCCTCTTTCCTATATCTCTCCTGCTTTTCTCCTCCTCCTCTCCTCCTACTCTTTTTCTCCTCCTCTTCTCATTCTCCTCTTCTTTTCCTTCTCCTCCTTTTCTCCTCTTTTTCCTACTTCTTGTCCTCTCCTCTTTTTCCTTCTCCTTCTCTTCTCCTCCTTCTTTTTCTTCTCTTCCCCCTCCTACTCTCCTACTTTTTTTCCTCCTCTCCTCCTTTTTCTTTTCCTTCTCTGTTTTCTCTCCTCTTTTCATTCTCTTCTCCTTTTCCTCTTCTCCTCCTCCTTCTTCTCTTTCTTCCTTTCCTCCCCCTTTTCCTCCTCTCCTCTCCTCCTTCTCCTCTTCTCCTCCTCTTTCTCTTTTTTCTCCTCTTCTTCTCTGTCTTATCTCCTCCTCCCAGTTTCTTTTTTCTCCTCTCCTCTTCTGGTCCCGTTATTCTCCTCTTCTGTTTTGTTTTCTCTACTTCCTCTCTTCTTACTATCTTCCTCTCATTTTCTCCTCCTCTTCATTTGTTCTTCTTTCACTTCCTCTTCCCCTTTTCTCTTGTTTTTCCTCTTCTCCTCTTCTTCTTTGTTCCTCCTTTTCTTTCTCCACACTCCACCCCTATTCCTCCTCTTACCGAGCCACTGGCCATTCCAAGCAGCACTCAGCACACCTAGCCACAATCTCTGCTGCACTGTGCTAGTAAGACCTGCTGTGCATCTATATTAACTTTTACAGGATAGGAATCTGGCCAACCCAGGTGGACTATATATATATATATATATATATATGTGTGTGTGTGTGTGTGTGTGTGTGTGTGTGTGTGTGTGTGCATATATATATATATATATAGAGAGAGAGAGAGAGAGAGAGAGAGAGAGAGAGAGCTCATGAAAGGGCCTTGATCTGTCACCCAGGCTGGGGTGCAGTGGCACAAGATTATGACTCACTGTAGCCTTAAGGGATCCTCTTACCTCAGCCTCCCGAGTAGCTGGGATTATGGGTGTGGCCTGCGACACCTGTCTAAATGTCTTTTGTAGTGACGGGGTCTAACCACGTTACCCAGGCTGGTCTGAAACTTCTGGGCACAAGTGCTCTGCCTGCCTTGGCCTCCCGGAATACTGGGGTGAATTTATTTGTTATAGCCCCACCGGGACTTGGATGGTGCAAGCCTCCTAGACCAGAAACATCTTTCCAGCGCTGCTCCCCGACTTCTGCTCTGTCTCCCTGCATTCTTTCCCTGTGGAATGAGGAACTTACCTTCTATGGCCTTTCCGGTACCTCTCTGGCAGGGAAGCCTGGAAACTAGGGCTCCTGCTTTCCCCTGCAGCCGCAAAGCATGGGGTTGCTGGCCAGAAGGTGGCCTCCTGGGGTGCTGTCGCCAGAGTGTTCGGTGGAAGCCACTGCCGCACCCTGCTCTGCGGATTTGAAATTCCTGGGCAGAGGACACTAGCGTCGAGGGGGCAGCAGGCAGCCCTGCGTCCTGGCCCTTTCCTGGCTGGTGGTGGTGGTGTGCTGGACTACAACCTAAGGCGCCCAGGAAAGAAGGGGACCAGGGCCTGGCCATGGGGACGCCTGTCGTTCCTCACTCTTCCGTTGACGGGGTGTGTGTTTTACAGGGATCCGTCGGTGTGGACTGTACCTTCCTTGCACGAGTTGGGGGCTGGGTGCCGGGTGCCATCGTGAGTACAGGAAAAAGGCGGGGGGGGGGCCTTCTCCCACTGGAAAAATCTGTGGCTATTTCCGGGGCTTTTCTTTTTCCTCCCAAACCAGCCTGCAGCCTAGTGTCGCTTCCTCTGTCCCCAACACCCGCCTCTGCTTGGGCCCCCTCCTCCATTTCCCATGGTGTCTCTTATAAAACTGCCACCCTAATGTTGGCTAAGGAGCAGGGGAGGGCCTTCCCGTCGCCGACGCCCTTCCTGGGAAGCGGTGCGTTTTCTGGGCCGAGGGCACATCGAGGATGTCACCCACTCCTTGACGTGAGGACGAAGCACAGCGTCCGTTCCACTTCCTTTCCAGGCAGGGCGGAGATCTGCAGAGCTTGGGGACCCCGCCCGGTGCAGAACGCGCTGGCCAGTGGGCGACTTGGCAAGCGCCCTGGGCACCTGGCGACCCTCGTCAGCGTTGCATCCATGACAGGTTGTAATTGAGATGGAAAGACTTTTTTCCTGCTCAGCGGATTTGTCCTCCCTCTCTCCTTACTGGGTAGGAGATAGAACACGAGCCCAGACCCGAGGCAGCAGTTCACACTCCATTACAAAACTCTACAGAGCGTCGGAGCTAGCAGCAGCACACATTTGGGGAACATTGGAGGGATTTTCTTCTTCTTTTGTGGGTAGTGATGTTAGTGGTTGTGGAGCGAGAGAGAAGAGTGAATAAAAAGTATAACGATTTGGTAGGCCAAAAATCCTGTCTGGGATTTTCATTAATAGAAAATTAAACTCTCCTTCTTGCTTGGGTTTAGACTCAAGCTTACTGACCCTTTCAAAGTCAATAAAAACAAAGTTTGCCTGTTAGAAGAGAATGCTGAAAATAGTGAGACACGTCTGTCTGGTGGAAACAAAATGATTTCTGCAAAGGCAAAGTTGCCAGTGCATCCCCATATATTTGAGGGGTTTTTTTTCCTTTTTTAGATATGCAGTGGTCCCTGCACCTGTGCACGATGATGCTGACATATATTTAATAGAAGTGGAAGGTGAGGGAAAGGGAATTGCAAAGATAAGAATGTGATTTTGTTTTCATTTTTTCACACCTATGACAAGCATTCTCTAGACTTGGTGCTTTTACAAGTAGACAGGTAGAGTTTCTAAGCCATATTTTAATCAGGTAGTCTGTTAGAGACCACAGTCTAGGCTAAAACCTCTTTGGAAACACACACACACACACACACACACACACACACACACACACACACGCTTAGTTCTGTGCTACCTTCAAGAGTCGACAGAACTTTTTGCAGGAATGGGTATGAATTCCTTCAAAAGGATCTTGTGCTCCATTTCAGGTAAATGAAGTGGCACTGCTGCCTTATCATTCTTAAAAATACTGCTAAACTGGCTGCTCATTAGGATATCTTGTTTTTAAAGAATTTACTAGATATGTGATACTTTTTTTTCTTGAGACAGAGTTTCGCTCTTGTTGAACAGACTGGAGTGCAATGGCGCTATCTCGTATCACCACAAACTTCATCCCCCCAGTTCAAGGGATTCGCCTGCCTCAGCCTCCCAAGTAGCTGAAATTACAAGCATGTGCTACCACACCTGGCTGATTTTGTATTTTTAGTAGAGATGGGGTTTCTCCTTGTTGGTCAGGCTGGTCTCAAACTCACTCCAGACCTCAGGTAATAATCCCACCTTGGCCTCCCAAAGGGCTGGGATTACAGGCGTGAGCCGCTGTGCCCAGAAGGATGTGTGAAACTTTTAAGAAATGCTACTGATGATAATGGATATATGGAATATCATTCTCTGAGGTTTTCTAGATACCACTTTATTTCTCATCAGAAATTCAGACTCTAAGCCCTTAGCATGGCAAACACGTGTTTGTTATATGATGGTAAACATTCATCTCATTTAGCTGGTACAGGTGATACATTCATACCTAACTTGTTACACCATCCAACTGACTGATAAAAGGGTCTTTTATTTTCAATGACTTCAGGCAGACTCCTGAGGTCTTATTTGCATCTGACACAGGTACAGTATGTTGAAGGAGAAAAAATAAACCTTATTAGTCCTGCATTAGATCAATAGCTGTTTATTAACTACCTCGTATATGCCATACAACATAGGTGACTTGGTAATAAATGGCCAGTTATAAATGCAGTTTCCAGCAGGGCACAGTGGCTCATGCCTGTAATCCCGGCACTTTGGGAGGCCCAGGCTGGTGAATAACCTGAGATCAAGACGTTACTGCGGAGTCCAGGAGTTCAAAGCAAGCCTGGCCAACATGGTGAAACCCCATCTCTACTGAAAATACAAAAAAATAGCGGGGCATGGTGGTGGGCACCTGTAATCTTAGCTACTTGGGAGACTGAGGCAGGAGAACTTGGAATACAGAGGTTGCAGTGAGCCAAGATTGCGCCATTGCACTCCAGCCTGACAACAGAGCAAAACTCCATCTCAAACAAACAAAAAAGAAAGAAAGAAAGAAAGAAACAAACAAACAAACAAACAAACAAACAAACAAACAAAAGGGGATATAGATGTAATTATTATCCTCAGATTAAGATGAAGAAATAGAGACCCAAAGAGGCGGCCAGCTATTAGAACTCAAATGGTTAAGCTTGTCTCCAGGGTTGTGCTTCTGAACCCTGCCAGACTACCTACTGTAAAGAAATGATCTGTTCACTAAACAAATACTAGATGAAAATGTCCTGTGTGCAGAGTTCTCCCTATTAGGCACATCAAGGGAAAAGATGGGCATGCCATAGGAAAAATATAAGTGTGCCAGGACAGGGTTCTGGCTTCCAGAAATAAATTACAGCTTACCTATTTGACAGCTCATTTTAGCTAATATTTGACCACATAAGCTAGACCTTCCCTTCTGTGATGGTCAGGAATGGAGATTGGTGTTTTGTGGAGTAAGGGGCTTGCAGAGGTCATGTTAATACATGAACTGGTTGAGTGGGATTTGTGTGCCCTTAAAAAGGGGGAGTTCAACGAGACATTAAAGCAGAATGCTGGCAGACTGACACCAGTGGTAGAGTGAAACCCTGAACAAATCCTGCCAAGGATGAAATTTTTTTTGCGATGTTCTCATTGGAAAAGGTAGCATGTGGAAGGGAGGTGGTCTTTCACATGGTGGGAGATATTCCAGAAGTGAAAATGGGTGGCCATGGACTCTATGATTCTGCTGGTCTTCTGTGTGGTGGGTAGTGAGGGGCTCTCTTATCTCTTAAAATCTTCCTTGTGAACACCCACTTTTAACCTCACTGAAAGTACTGAGCCCTGTTCAAGGACTCATATAAAGCCTACTTTTGAAGAGATTTGAAACTGTAAACTCATAAATATTTGGGAAATTTGGTTTTGTTTTGGGTAGGGCCAATGCCTTGAGAACAGGTCTATTGTTGTTTTATGTTATTATAGGTTACTGTTATTTTCCATAACATAAAACTCAAGGTTTTGCCTCAGAATCTGCATTGGGGTGATCCTACAAGGTTCACAGCATGTGATATGAGCCATGTAAAGGAAACAATTGAATTAACTTGATTACTAATCTATTCTAAAGATGTGTCCAAGATCAAGTGTGATAGTCTCTGGGAGGTATTATTTCTTTCTTGTTTTGCTTTTTAAGCAGGAGGAGCCACATGTACTGGTGGACAGTAAGAGGAAGACCTTCTGTCTCCTTTGAGTGTGTTTGAGATGGGATCGCCAGTGTGCCTCGCTTCTTTTATAAGGGTGCCTGAACAAGTTATAAAGTTGGCAAATCTTGCATTGTGATAGGCACTTGAGAGTCTGTTTCCTGTTTCTTCCTATCTGTGGATAAGGACTATTTTGAAACTACTAATAAATAAATAATTGAAGTCATGCATGCTACCAGCTCAATTTTAACTGACTTATCTTCTGTATTTACTACTAATATTATTGTCATTGTTATTTTTCTCATGACACTGGGAAAGTTTCTGCAAAATAATAGTGGAAAGCAATCTGAATTAGTAGATGAGCGTTCTGGCTCCTTTCTATTCTCATCTGTTGAGTAACACTATCAGCAAGCTTGCATTGGGAACAATTTCTTTATACCTACACCTGGTACCAGGCTCTAGCACTGCAAAGATGGATATAATTTGGTTCCATTTCTAAAATTCACCAGTGCCTAACAACCAGCAATAACAAGTGGAGAACGGCAAGTGAGAATTTGCAGTGGAAAGAAAAGGTGATATCCTCAAATGTGCAGGTTTTCAGGTGGAGGAGGAGAATGTAGTAAAGGAGAAATGTACATTTATGCAAAAAAGCAGTTTAAGTACAGGACTTGAAGTATAAAAATATGAGACGTATTTGAGGACCAGGCAGGACAAGCAGTGGAGAATGACAAAATAATATAGTTTGCGAGTGTTGTGTAGAGTTGAGATGATAAGAGATTTAGAAACATAAATGGGGGCTTAGAATCATCAATGGAGACTCAGCTGTATAGGCTGTTATGAGCCATCAAATGTTTTGGAGCAGGGCTGTAATGTGAGCAGCTCTGTGTTTCAGAGAGAACACTGGTAACCTTTTTAAAAGTTTAAGCTTGAAAAAACACAACGTATTCAGCAAAGTGTAGTGCACACTTGAAATTTGGTTGCCTCTTTGATAGAATATATTTTCCCTTTTTTAAAAGAGACTTTTCAGACAAGAATGTATGGGCTGCCTTCCCATACATGGTTAAATAATAATGGAAAAGTGAGACACTAATTTTCCACAAATCAAATTCAATTAGACAATATTTACACTTTTCTAATTGTGTTTTACTAATTGGTACTTAAACTCTTTAAAGAGTAGACATCTTCATAATGGAGAAACTTTTTCTCTCAAAAGCACTGAAGATGGACACTGGGAGCCGAATAGAGATATATGTAAAATAATTTTGGACACATGATTGCCATAATGGGGATACCAAAAGCTTACATGAATCAGTAAAAAGTTAGACATTTCATTAGCAAAATAAGCAGAAGACATGACTAAGCAATTCAGTTTTGTTTTGTTTTTATTTTTTTGAGATGGAATT